AGTCATAAAGCGCTATGCATAACGTGCAAAAGAATATGGTTAGTTTCAATAAAGAAAACAACAACAACAACAACAACCTGATTTTAATTCGAGCTGACCAGGCTCGTTTGCATCTCAAATTTGGAGTGCTCAAAGTTTTTTGTTCAGAGGAAGGAGATTGAGGTCGCATTGTGAGCATACCACAATGGAAAAATATCCTCTTGCTGGAGAGAAAGGACTTGAAAGCGATGAAAGCGACCAGGATTGCATTCCAAGATTTTATTCGCTGGTCGAACACCGAGTTTTGAGCAGAGTCTTGGGTTTTGAGAGGAATGGCCTCGAGCCATGGGGTGGTTGTACGAAAACAATGTTTCACTTCCATTTGAGAACATTGGAAGGGATGTGGGGTAGGAATTTAGCCTTATTGCGGCTCTGGAGAAACAAAATATGATTGGGCTACAAGTTTGTAGATATGACCATATTGATTAGACAAATCCAATGGTGACTCCTAACTGAAACTTACGCTGGTAGGCGCCAAAATGGCCCAGATAAAGAAAAATCGGATGTTGGCTAATTTATTTTGGATTGAAAATTGAGCAGGCAAATGAATTTCAATTGTTTTTTTTTTTTCGGTATAATCATCATGAAATGAAGAATATCGCCCACCTAAAACAGTATCAAACAGAAAACAGTATAAATTATTTTGATGGAAATTACGTGAGTAAAAAAAAAACATCTATTGAACTAATTTTTTTTTTTTTATACCACTGTCTTGATGATAAAAATTCAACGGTAGATCACCCATCTAAAACAAACGTCGACTGACGCCAGAATTAGGCCGCATAGGAAATAGTGAATTTTATCCTGTGACCGACATAATTAATATACACATTTATAATATTTTTGATAAATTAAATTGTCAAGTTCAATGTTTAACAATACGCTGTGCCTTTTTCTAGAAATAGGTTATTATAGTGAACAAAATAAAATAACATATGTCAACTGCGTATTTACAAATATGATGTACGTCTTTTTCACCTCAAGAATAAATTATACTTTTTTTTCGCACCAAATTTCCAAAACACTTAATTGTCACCGAGGTGATAAATCATGATGAAAGAATATCACATTCACAAACCACATGATAGTGTTAATTGTTACGATTACACCATGAACACGCCGTATAGTTGCACTATGGGCACATTATATGATTGTACTACATCATCGCACAACAAAATTATACCACATGATTACACAACATAATTGTACTACACGATCACATTGTGTACTTATAACATTTCTCTAATAACTCGGGTTAAAAATATAACATAACTTACGATTCTACATTAACATCAACATACTTCCAACAGGTTGGAGTCTGGAGGGTCAGTTGTACGCTGAACTTAACGGAACTACCCCAGGAGAAAATTGGGCCTGATGAGCGCGTATACGAAATCGATCGCGGTCTCAGCCAAGCCCATAGCGCTTTTCACAGTCACATTCGGCATCACAGTCTCCATCGTGCTTCTCAACCGCCCAAACCCGCTTCCGATTCAACCCGACCCGATGGCGCGGAGCTTTGTGCTGTGGCTGCACGGGCTGGGCGATTCGGGCCCTGCCAACGAGCCAATCAGGACGTTCTTCACTTCTTCGGTGTTCAGGAATACCAACTGGTCCTTCCCTTCAGCTCCTTCCAATCCTGTTACCTGTAATTGTGAGTTGTTTAATTTCATCTGTATAAATTTTGCTAATTGCTTCAGATTTTTATTTTTTTATTTATTTATTTATTTTTTTTTGGGTTGTTTACTTTGATATTGAATTACCTGATAATTGGTTGTGAAACGCATGCTGTTATGGACTGTAATGGACTATCCAGTTAGTAATTTCAGTGTACCATTATTGTTGTAGTATTATGGCAGTATCACTAGTGTTAGTAGTAGTTCTCATTTTCTACCTTTGCTGGAATTCATGCGATTTTCGAAATAGTCTCGCTTATATGGATCTGTATTGCATCTTTGATCATGTTAATTGTTGTACTTCAGAACTTATTTGTACTTAGAATCCCTAGAAGAAAAACTCGATCAATGGGTTGAAGAAGTGTCGTTCAAAAGGAATATAGATTCCTTTGGATTGAGTTACTTCATTAAGGAATGCATTCCATTGAGATTAGTTGGGTTAGATTAAGGTTGCCGTGAATAAATAATGCTTGTACGCATTTCGCCAACATGATTCTATCGACCCAAAATGCTCAATTTGAGATTTATGACTTCAAATCCTTCTTGAAATTTTAATCCTTCCATCATGCATAGCACAATGTGGGGCCTCCAACGTAGACCATTCGATATAGGAAGAAACTTTGGCGTTCATTCAAAGAAAATGTGGAGCAGCTTAAAGTTATGTTGTTCTTTCTCTTAATATGAATAAAACATGGTAATAACTGCTGGACTGTAGGTCTTCATGCTTTGCTATTCCTGCAACACATTGACCCTAGTTTGATTGTTGATTTATGATCGTCTCTTGAAGCTAAAAATCACCTCGTACCTTACTACTGATCTCTTTTGAATTAATAAGTGTGTACTTGTTGTTTATTTATTTGTTATTTGAAAATCTAGCAAGCAACTAGTATTTAACCATTGTGCACCAAATGAATTAAATTCTTAATGAGTTGCGTCTTCCAAAATTAATGTTTTAAAATGGATTAGGCTTGTTTTGGATTTTGTTTTATAATCAACAGCCAAATAATTTGTTCCCTTCAATGTGTCACTTTTGTCACTTGTTAATTTGTTGTTTGTGCAGACGGTGCTGTGATGCCTTCATGGTTTGACATTCATGAGATACCGGTGACGGCTGTGAGTTCTGTTTCTCTTGTGTGTTTTTAGTTGAAATTTGTGCATAATTTCTTGTTTTAGTTTCATTTATAAACTTAATGAATTGTTCTTTTCTGCACAAAAAAGCAACTCTAGAAGTTTGAACAAGATAGAATTGGAATAAGACTAACGAGGCTCCTTCAACTTGTGTATCCATTTAGTGATGAATGGAATACACTCGAGTATCTTAATTTGATATCCTGTGTATTCGATAGCTTTATTGTTCTAATAAAGTTAATTCTTTTTCCAACCTTGCACTATCAATATCCTGTCACTTGTCCATACATCATTTGAAAAACTAGCATTGGTCTTCCACAACTTCATGACTTGCTAATAGCATGAAAAACGGAGTCACTTCAAATCAATTTAAAATTACAATCATCTTGCAGGACTCTCCAAATGATGAGAGTGGTTTGCTCAAAGCAGTTCAAAATGTCCATGCGATGATAGACAAAGAGATAACTGCAGGAACCAATCCCAAAAATGTCTTTGTGTGTGGCTTCAGTCAAGGAGGTCTCTCTCTCTCTCTCTCTCTCTCTCTCTCTCACTCTCTGTGGTGTTCCGAAAGTCATTTATATAATACTTAATGCACTATATAATGCATGCAATTTCGGTTAATTTTTCTGGTAACAATATTAATTGTTTTCCCAGGTGCCTTGACATTGGCAAGTGTTTTGTTGTATCCAAAAACCCTTGGTGGAGGTTCCGTATTTAGTGGATGGGTTCCTTTTAGTTCATCAATTTTGGAACGAGTCACAGCAGATGCAAAAAAGGTTCACTTCTTATTACGAGGAACCCAGACACACATTCTCACTTGTGCCTGGGGCCTGTATGTAAAAGATATTTGTATTGGTGTTTAGAACTTTTCAAGTCACAGATTCTCTTTCTCACCTGCACAAGGTTTTAATTATGTGCAGTACCTGTTTTGATAAGCAACGCTAACATTAATTTTTCATTTTTGCCAAGATATATGGATGCTTGCAGAATATACTCGAGCATTAAAGACTTGCATTTTCCCTCGATTTTGTTCAAACCAACTACAGATTATGCCCTGTTTCTAAATTTTCTGCCTTTTATTCAATGTACATTTGCTTTATTGCTAACCTAGAGAATGCATCCTTTATTGCTTTTGAGCTTTTCTCTTGCAGAAAAAATTGACAATTGAATAAAATAAATATAAAAAGTGATATATTTTGAGGATATTGTCTCTGCAGACACCTATCCTGTGGTCCCATGGGATGGCGGACAGAACCGTACTTTTCGAAGCTGGACAAGCTGGACCACCCTTTCTTGAAAAAGCCGGTATAAGCTGTGAATTCAAGGTAAAAATAATTCCACTCTCCACCTTCATATTTGTAGTAATATATATGTCCTTCTTTTAAAAAATAAAAATAAATAAAAAATTATAAAGAATCAAAATCAGTTGCACAATTATCTTGTTTTATTAATTTATGTATCTTGTCCTTTGTTATATGTGGTTGTATTGTTAAATTATACTAGATGCAAAAAGTCACATAAATGTGCATTATTCATCTATTCTTGCCGTCTGTCCTGCATATATGTATGAGTGCACTATTTTTAAATTGCACCCCTTTAAACTAACTTTCATGAGGTTCATTTTACCTTTTGACATTATTGAAGTTGGGTATTGGCGTGCTATTCACCTTTGGCTGCTTTGGGTTTTAAAATCTTTAGGCTTACCCTGGTTTGGCTCACTCCATAAGTCAAGAAGAGCTAAGTTATTTGGAATCGTGGATAAAATCTCGTCTTCAGAGTTCGTCTTGATGGGCCCACCTAAAGTGAGTTCAAAATTTGGTGCCCGAAAAAAAGTAAAAGATTCTCGAGCAGCTAATATCAAATTTGGTACTTAGAAATGTCACAGCTCCACAAGCAACTAGTATTCTTTTAAGCTTGTTATGAACTTACAGGCTGTAACACTTCTTTTATTTGGTATTGTGTTAGCAGATTTTGTGGGGGAAAACCGGTGAATCAGTCCCTCAAGGGCCTGTGTATGTTTGTTGCTTATTCAGTGTATGACGATTGGACCTTAAATGGTTTTGAACTCTGCTCTCTTTTCTCATTCACGTGTAAATTTATGTTTGTTGTACTGAATATCCCATCAATTTTCACTACCCAGTAACCACTCCATGGCCTATAGACTATAGTCATAGTTGATCACTTGTTAGCCATAATTTTGAAAACCGGACTGGATCAGTCGGTCGGTCGAAAACCAATCAGAAAAATATTATGATTTAGTTCGGTAGAATGAGCCGGTTGCAAACAATATGTTGGAATCGGACGGGTGAATTGGTCCGACATTTTTTTAAAACTTTTTTTCTTTTTAAAATCAATTTTAATGTGTCTAAAAATATTTTTAATATAAATAAAATACATGTATAAATACATATTGGATATGTATAAATTATCATACCACTTGTTTAGGCATTTGAATGTTTTAAATTATCTACATATATTTAAATAATGCTTTTATTGGATGTGTTGTATATATTTTATTGTGAATATATATTTCTCTTGATTTAGGTAGAATGATAATTTTTGTATGATAAGTAGATTATTTTTGTACGGTATAGGATATTTTTATTTTTGGTAGATATTGTAATCTAGTCAATACTGACTCTATAAATATGATAGTCCTTTGTATTTGCAATATACACCGAAATTATTCTCTCTTGATATTTTTTTTGTGGTATCAGCGTAGTCTTGTTCTAGGATATGCAACGACTCTATTCATCGAGTCTGATGTAGCGGTTAAAGTACTCACAAGTAAATGGCGTGTTGATATATTACTTGTAAATTGTTTTGCAATGATTATACAGGAAAAATGAGTCCATTGTGTAAAATTAGTGAGCTACTACTCATCCCATCACCAATTGATTTTGAAACATTACTTTTAAATTGTCTTGCATTGATTATATAGGAAAATTGAGTCTATTGTGTAAGCTTCGTGAGCTACTCACATCATCAATTGATTTTGGGATAAAAAATTAGGGTGTTCTGTATGCAAAATTTCTCAATCTATATTCAATTCATACTCAAAATTTAATTCAATTTTAACTCAACCTCACTATCTCCAATATTATCACAATAATTAAATAATATCAATCAATTATTATTACATAACATATCAACTTTAAGTCACAATTCATTCGCTCACATAATTTTAACTAATCATCATTTCACATCATATCTCTCTTACTTTTATATTAAACCAACTTTATTTATTTTATATTTAATATTATTTTAATATAAACACAAAATCCTACAAACACCTAACCATATAATATTTTTTAATTCAAGCATTGGGCCAGTTATGAGACGCTGATTAGAGTAGATAATTGATTGAATTAACAAATTTGAGGAGTTAATTGAACATTTGACCTGTAGATTGATATTTAGATAAGGGCAATGCTATATGTACACCCCCTTTTAATAAATTACACAAAGAAAAATGCTATATGTACACCCCTTTTTTACACTTGAGGGGGTGTACATATAGACACCCCCTTTAGATAACTGGTTGAATAAAAAGTTTTACTACTTCGTTGAATTATGTGATTATGCTAAATTGACTGATTGGATTGACTAACAAATTTGACTTGGTTGTATTATGCGACTATGCTAAATTGACCGTTTTGCTATAAAATCAACAATTGGCTCTATAGTGAAACCAACCTTTTATATATAACAAGTAAACCTATCATATTATCTGATTATTTAATTAACACTAGTATAATTTTATTAATATGGTAAGTTCATTTGTTGAATATAGAAGGTTGGCTCCACTATAGAGCCAACTGTTGACTTCACAGCAAAACCGACTAAATTGATTGTATGGGTTCATTGTGCAAAAGCATTGGACAAATAATTAACACTGATAGTTATTTGATATGTTAAATTAATTAATATTTCATTTACAAATTCTCAAAAAAAAAAATTATATTCAACTTTTTTTGTTAAATTAACTTTTCTAATTCAAAAGGTTAAGAAAGAAATAATGGAAGTAAATTTATGAAGGAAAAAGAAGAATAAATGCGTGCTGGAAAAAATGAACTGACGACCCCAATAAAATATCTGACAAACAAATCTACATATTGGGTGTCGAAATTTACGTGAAAGAAAGCAGTCAATCAATGAGGTGCGTAATGTATGAATGATATTCGAAACATGTTGGCATATGAGAATGCAAAAAAAAAAAAAAAAATGACGGATGGTCGTAATTTATTCGGAGTTGGATTTGGATATTAGTGAATATTCGGTGTTATAGATTTGCATATACGAGACGTAAACTATGCGGTTGATTTGGATATGCGATTATAAAAAATGTTTATTTATATTGAATTTTTTTTTCTTATGTTATATCTCGCATATTGTTTGCAATTTTGTCATATTGTTTAATTTTATTAATTTTTTTATTATAATATGCAAACACTATACGATTTATCACACATGTTTCATAGTTCTTCAAAATTTCTTTCAATTAAAAGTTTTTCTTCGAACACTGTCGCTAATTTTGCTGGGAAGTTTATGTGACCGGACATTAATGGTTCATTATACATGCAAAATATTGTTTTACACATGAATCGTGATTACACATATACTTGACACAATAAAAAAATCGTTATTGATACAGTGCCTCAACGTCCAACAAAATAAGACAAACAACTTAAATTGATTTACATGTTGTTTTTCAATTTATTCAGGTGGATTCTCAAGTTCGAGATCGATGAGTTCCACTTGCGGTGGTGGCGGATGGATCTGACCATCACTGTCATTGTCAGTGTCATCATCGTTTATGTTTTGCCCCAAGATTGTGTCATCAACCGAAGCACCATGCTCGCCCTTCAAGTCGATCGCTGCTATATTTCACTCGGTAAAAATATCGCAACACTCACGATACAAAGATAATCCGTACTAACGAAAAAATGCTTGAGCGTCGGTCTCCTCCAGTGTATTAAATTTGAAACTTTTAGGGTTATGAAAGCTCTCAAATTCACAAACAATCTAAAATAAAAAACCATTTTACCTCACTCACATACAACCACTACATGTAGTTAACAATAACAAGGTCACATCACCACGCACTTGAACTCTTAGAATCAACAAGAAACTTGAAAATTCATCGAAATAATTTCTGAGTCGTTGAATCTTTTTCCAGACTTGGGCAATTGAATACTCCTTCCTCAAGGCCTAACACACTGTGCAATTCAGCGAACGTGCAATTTCTTGTCACAAGGAATTGAACACAGGGTCACGGTGTATGTCTCCCTTCTCAGGGCACTTCTTGAAAAATACTAAGTAGCAAGCATGCTCCTCACCTATGTCCACTCTATACACGGATGCGGATCGCGATATGCTTATTGCTTGAAATCCTATTCATTTTTCGCAAACGTGCCTAGTTTTATTTTAAAAAAAAAAAATTATAAAGATTACTCTTGCTAGGGTTTTTTTTTTAATAATTTTTGCTTAGATCAAAATATGTGAAATGTTATCGCATATGGAAAAATAATTGGTGGATTTGGATATGTGAGTCGTAAACTACACGAAAGTATATCACATAAAGAAATTATGCGACGTTCTATTTGGATATGCGATTTTTGAATATGCAAAAAGGTTTTGCATATCGTATATTATGCGGCGTTATAGATTTAGATATGCGAGTCGTAAAATATACAAAAACATGTCACATAACATAAAATATGGTGGCGTTCGATTTGAGTATGTGATAAAAGACTATGCAAAATGTTATCGCATATGGTACATTATGCGGTAGATTTGGATACGCGAGTCGTAAACTATACAAAAACATGCCGCATAATCAATAAAAATATGCAGTATTCGATTTGGATATGCGATAATAAACTATGTGAAATGTTATCGCATATGATAAATTATGCGGTGGATTTGGATATTCAATATTTCGTAAGTTGTAGGATGAAAGGAAATTTTTTTAATGGAACAAATGCGTAAAAGAAAATGCATGTATTTATTATGGTGTAGAAAAAATTCTCCCAAGAAACCAGAAATAGTAGAGTTGCTAAACTCAACAAGAATAGAAAAAACCTCCCGTCTCCCCAAATTAGCCAATCCCTAAAAAACCTTCCGTCTTCCCGCACATTGTTGCCCCTTCTTCATCTTCATACTCGTCGCCCACCAGCCGGAGTTTGGATTCGTTGAGTCGGGCTGTGGTATTTCTCTGTCTCTTCTGAGGCTTGTGGGAGATCTGGACGTAGAACACTCGTTGCCGCCGAGATTGAGTTGTTCTCACCGCCCAACTATCATCCCGGTCAAGGTTGATACCGTCGGTCGTTAGTGTTCATACCACAGCCTCGGGGAGGTACGATCGTCGGTTCGTATGAGGTTGTGTTTTTCAGGTTCTGGGGTCATTGGGTGCGGCTTGCCGTCGGTCGATCCTTCTTTCGAGCACTTCGGCGAGGCGTGTTGGTGTCCTCGTGGCGGCTCCCTCTCTTCGCCCATGGTGTGGATGGTTTTTCGGAGGCCAAATTTGATTTGAGAGCAGACTCTTCTTCAGATCCGTCTAGGCGGCTTCAGTGACCGCAGTTTTCGAGCTCGAGTTTTGGATTTGTGGCTTCATTGGATCTCTTTGCTTGTGGATGAGGCTCGTGTGCAGTCTCGGGTGGTCGTGCGTTGAGTTTGTTAGGTGTATGGGAGGCCTTATCTTCTTTATTTGTTTATTAGGTGTGAGTTGCTTTTGATTTTTCTTTTGTTGTTTTATTTCGTTTAGTTGGTTGTGTCTGCTTTCTAGGGCAGCTTTGTATGTTTTCTCTCATTTATGGAGTTTGTGTCTCTTTTTTGTAATTTTGCTTTGTGGTTGTTAGCCTCCTTGATGGAGTTCGCACCCTCTTGTGTTGACAAGGGGTTGGTTCAGTCTTCTAGTTCCAGTGCGTCAATCGACACCTCGGGTGTACTCGTTTAAGTTTTTAAATTATTAATATAATCGCCGTTTAAAAAAAAACATAAAAAAATCAACAAGACAACAATTAGGAGTGAGCAAGGCTGAACCTATATTCTGGACCTTGCTAGCGGGGCCCAATTTCGGTTACGCTTACAGGGAGTGAGGCCCAAGCACGAGGTGTACGTAGAAATGAGGAATTTGCACTCTCCACTTAATTAATTTGTCTTTATTACATAATTACATCCCTTATATAAATATTTACAAATTAACTAAATTTGTTAAATTTATTTGCATACGTACCTAAATATATCTTTTCATCTTTATGGTACTTTTACTAGATAATAGAAGAATTTATGAGACTCTATTAATTACCAAAAACTGATTTCCTAATTATATGGTAACTTCCCACCCATCATTGGGTCTCTCTCCTTCTCCCCTCTCTCTCTTTCTGCGTTTTCCTCCATTAAACCATGGCCTACAAATAAATAAAACAAAAAAGGCTCCTGCTCCACCGCCGTCGGCCGACGCGTGGCACGGCAGGGTCTCGCGTGTCATTTGGATGATGTGCCAAACGACGTCGTCGTCATCATCGTCTTTGTCTTCTTCTTGATGCTCGTCTTCAGATGGGAATTGAGCGACTGTGAAACGCCCGTTGATAAGGGAGAAAGTAGATGATGGTGGGTTGTTGCTTGAAATTGGATCTTAAAAATCTATTTCACTAGAAGGAGCAAATTATTATGTTATTACAAACTGATAGAATGACGATTGAAATCTGGGATTAGGCAAAAAAATTGTATTGAGGGTGTGAAATGGTGAGATCTAACGAAATAAGAAAAAAAAAAAAAAAAAAAACTGGGAAGTATATGTTCAATATATTATAAGTATATTAGAAGATTTTTTTAATCTGTTCAGTATATTTTGTGTGTATAGAGAGTATATGTTCAGTATATAACAATTTTTTTTTTTTGTATAGGAAATATAAGTAACTTATTATAATATGTTTATAAACTATAATCATAGGGAGTATATGTTCAGTATATTAGAAGAATTTTTTAATTTGTTCAGTATATTTTGTGTGTACAGAGAGTATATGTTCAATATATTACAAAATTTTTTTTATATGAAATATAAGTAACTTGTTATAATAGGTTTATAAACTATATATGTACTTTTATGTGTAAAGTAAAAAGAAAAAAAAAAGAAAAAAAGAGATATTTTTTTGATGAAACACATGTTTTTCACATATACTAATATATACTACCATAAATTCAATATATACCACCTGACAGTTTTATTAAATAACTTGTGTGAATTAAGGGGATAAGCATGAATTAAGGGGAGAAGGGTTGGAAGGATATGGGAACTTTAGGCATTAATATAGATAAATAGTGTGTTTTAGGTAGAAACATAATTATTTCTACTTATATGGTAAAATTACAATTAATTTAAAATCATGTAGTAGACATAAAAATTTCCCTAGAAATTTTGTAGATATGCTGCGCCGATCTAGACACAGTGTGATAAACTTTGGAAAAAGAAGATATGAGGAACAGATTCGCTGCGGGGGGCCCACACTCATATTGCCTAGTTGCGGTCCTCCACCACCAATCAAATTCCATCCTTTCCCTAAGCGTTGCTCGCCAGTGCACCTTCCCATGCGCCTGCGTCGCAGTGGATAATGCCCCCACAACCAAAGCCCGATACACGTCACCGAGGACCCATTTGACATTTCCAAATAAGCCCAACCATCAAAAGAAATTATACCTCTCTCTTTCTCTCTCATCACTTAAACCTAAAAACAACATTTCGCAGCTCTCTCTCTCTCTCTATCTTCTACATTTCCATTTCTCTCTCTACAATTTTCAAATCATTCAGACTATGAAGAAACTCTATCGGAAGAGTACGGTCCACCCGACGCCGTCGGTCGTGTCGGAGCACCTCCTCTCCTTCCTACCGGCGGCGATTCTGGCCCTCGCCGCCGCCCTGTCTCCGGCGGACAGGGAAGTACTCGCCTACCTCGTATCCTGCTCCTCCGCCAGTCTCTCCAGCAGCAGCCGAAAGGGAGGCCAGAAAGCCTCCGCCTCCGCCTCCGCCTCCGCCGCACGCGGCGGCTCCAAGGGCGGCGACGACCACCCGCCGTGCTTCAGCTGCAACTGCTTCCGTTGCTACATGAGCTACTGGGTGAGGTGGGACTCGTCTCCCAACCGCCAGGTCATACACGAGATAATCGACGCCTTCGAGGAGAGCCTCTTGAAGGGAAGCAAGAAGGAGAAGAACCGGAAGGAAAAGAAGAAGGGCAAAAATGTCAAGGTCAATGTTAGCAGCGCTGGACTATTGGATGAGCCGAAGAGCCCTGAGACGGCCGCGGCTGTGTCGGCCTTCAATTTCGTGGACTCAAGCGCAGCGGCGGGCGGCGGCGCCGGCAGGACTGGAAGCGGAGACGAGGATTTAGATGCGGAGGAGGAAGAAGAGGAGACGGAGAAGGGCTCTGTTAGGAGATTTGTGAGTTTTCTGGGGGAGAGGATATGGAGCGTTTGGGGATGAAGAAATATTGGGGGACCTAAGCAAGGGATTTTTAACAAGAGGTTGGTTAATTATTTAGTTTTTTTTTTTTTTTTGGTTGCTGCTGCTTAATTATGCTTTGCTTTATACAACCCAAGCAAGTTTCCATTTTTTTGCAGTGGTTTGTTTGTTTTGTGGCACGTAGAACAACTCATCTACGATGTAAATTATATGTAGCTTTTAAAATTGTCATCGTTTTCTTCTATTTTTGCCCTTAGTTTATGTTGAAGTTTCATGCTTGGATAGTGCTTAATTCTTGATGATTTTTGTTGTTAATGAGGCAACCTGATTTGGGTTAATTGAGATTGAGCTTCAATTTTGATGCTACAGTCCTTGGGGCTTTTTTAATCCAATTTTAAGAAGATGCTACATTCCCGTAACGGGATAGTTCCGTTGTATTTATTAAGCGTAGATTATCTACACATTACTAGATTACATGCGACTACAAAGGACAACGACACCCGTAACAGGATGGTAGTAACGGGATGGTAGCATTCTCCCCAATTTTAATCCATTTTTCAAAATTCAAAAACTACCCAAATGCCCCCTTTTTTCAGGAAGTGTATCCACCATTGGCCAAGAACCAAAAATTGGTATTTTTTTCTTTTAAAATTGAGCTGAAAACTGGTTAAAGTGTTGTTTGCACAAATTTTGCAAAAGCAAGTGCCTTTTACTTTATTAGAATCCACTAAGAAACCTTTAAAGAAGCAATTGAAGGCCTCCCAATTCTCATTTATGATTTTAATTGATGAACACAAACAGTTCTTTTTGTTTGTTGTCTCTGTTATATGCTGCAACTTTAGCTAATTCCTGTTGAAACTTATTTATTACCATTTGCATTCTGAGTTTTTTACTTGCAAGTTTTTTGAGGTCAAGTGATTAATCTTTGGTAGTATGTTGAAATGTTGTAAGAATTTTTTTTTTTT